TGTAGTTGATTAAAAGGATACCCGATCAGCACTACTAACCCATCATGTTAACCCGCCCTCGCGGTCGCGGGTATGCGCTGCCGCCCCGACCCTTCCAGCACCCCGAAGACGCACCGTCCGCCGTCCACATGGGTAATGGTGCAGATGTTGAGATGGTCCGTTTGGATTCTGAAGAGGAGAATGGTGGGGGGGAGGGGGGGGGAGGAACATCACGACCCCCCGCGGCAGGCCGCCGTCGCTGGTTACAACTCGCCTGTTCCCTTGGCAATTCCCACAGGGCCGGATAACTTGGCGCGCGGTACCTGTTATCCACGATAGATATTTCCTGGCGCAGGAGTCAACATCTCCCAGGTGTTGGTCGTCCCAGCCACCTGCCGTCCAGTGTGGTTCGTACGGGTCTCGGAGCGCATGTTGACCAGCCGATCTGATGCCGGTTGGCCCCTGTCCCCTCGGGCGGTTGACCTCGGTTCACCCTGAACTATTTCGGTGCGGCCCTTCCCGTTCGACCCACCCCATCCATTGAATTGCCGTCGTTGAGTGTGTGGCCCGCACCAGGTCGGAGCCGTTCTCGATGGTCCTTCTCCGTGGGGGGGGGGCGGGGGGGGGGGGGGGGGGGGGGGGGGGGTGGTGGGGGGGGGGGATGGGGTGCGGTAAGGTACTATGTCCCCTGTTCGGATGCCGGCGGCCATGGCGGGAGATTTGGCACTACATTCCCGTCGACGCTGCACTTGTCCACGCGTAAACCTCCTGGGGGATCATGACGAGCAGGGTGAAGGCGACAGGGGACAGGCGCGTTCACCATGGACCGGCGGCAGGAATTATGGCTCGTGGCCGGTCCTTTCGGCCAGGCCTGGCTGGGGTACAGCCGGGGTTATTTTCACCGTCCAGGCGGACGAGCCGCCTAGAGGGGCAATCCATTTCCGGGAGATAGACCATTCGGCTACGACCCGGGACTCCGGGTCGATGTCCTTGATGGGCCCTCGTGCGGGAGGGACTCGTCGTCTCTGCCCATGTCGTGAATGTGCAGGACTGGCTGCGCCGTCCGCTTGACTGTGAGTCCTCGACGACGCTGGGCTAACCATGTTGCGCTGGCGGCCTCGGCGTTTGCATTCGTACCCGCAGTCCCCGGTGATGTCGGCAACGCCGGTCAGTTGATTGTACTGTGTTTGTCGTCCATCACCTCGCGTGTGCTCCATTGAATATGCTGAGGCCCGGGGATACCCTATGCCGAATTCAGCACCTTAACGCCGAAGCTTTGGGCGGTGAAGAAGTGTCCCATTCGGTGAATGAAAGACCACATCATCCTAGCATGGGGACAAAGGCGATGAGTTTCGCTATAGAGCTGTTGCTGCTGTATGAGAGGGGCGCGTCAGACCTTTGTATTTAGCTTGAACGGTGCCAGAGGCTTAATCTATGCTGCTTGTAATCTTGGGCGTGCGCCCCCTGGTGGTGACAGTCCTCGGGGACGTGTTAGTGGCAGTGTGCCACAGTCTGACGACTTACTCTTGACTCTTGGACCGCAGTTTAACAACCTCCACCGAACCGTCGGACCCATTATATCATATGCCGTAGTGGACGCCCCAGCCTTCGGGTTTGACCGGCGCGCCGTAGCGACTGTGAATGTGCTGTAGGTCCAGACTGAAGTCACTGAGCGACGGCGGCAGTAACTCGATGAATTCGCAGTTCCTGGTGGACCCGCCGGGTCGCGAGGATGAGTCGTTGTCGGTCTCCAGCTCGCGCCCTCTTCTCGTCCATGTTTGTCCCTGAAAGTCCGCCGGGCTCGAGGTTGTTCTTCCGCAAACATTGCCGGTCATTTCCTTGCCGCTCCTTCCTTTTCCTCGACCTCGCTGTCGGTGTGGGAACCGAGCAGCTGCAAGCGGCAAAAGCCCTCGCGAAAATCCATTTTGACCTTGGAATTGTTGGTGAGGGTGGCGGTTACCAGGATGTGTACGTAACTGTCGCTGATGGCCCGGTGGGAGACCTGCTGGCTGATGTTGGCGTGGGGGATGAAGTTCCGGAACAGGTCGAACCGGAAGGCGGCGAACAATGCGCCGGCCAATAGGGTGAAAGCGGCGGCATAACCCTGAATAACCTGGGCAGATTTTTCCAGGTCGGAATCGGGCATCCAGGCGTCGAGGGCCAACGTGGTAATGAGCAGGGAAGCCGCGACGGCAAGGAGCAGCAGCAGGCTGCCGCGCAACTGTTCCCGGGTCATTGCAACTCCGGCCGACGAAACTGGTAACGCTTATATTTATTTTGGATGGCGGGAGTCGGGGTGGCAATGGGCGGGTGTCAGTTGGGGGTGGGACGAAGGGTCGAGCACAGGGGCTAAAGGAGTGTCATGGAGGAGGTTAATAGATGTTGCGAGTGGTTAATGGTTTGTGTTTAGAAGGAAGGTTAAGGCAATTCTAAGAACGCCCGACTTTCGTCCTGGTACAGCTCCAGTATGTCGCCGAATCGCTCTTGCAAAAGGGATGCCACTTCTGGAGCGGGTCCGTTGCGAAGGACTATGAGCACGACTTTTGGAGGAAATCCCAAAGTGTCGCTCATGTCCCGGAAGTCCGTGTCTTTGGTAACTATCAGGTAGTCATGCTCTTTGTCGTATTGCCAAATTCGGCTATCTCGTGTCCGGCGCATTTCCAAGTTCCTGACGTGCAGTGAATCAGGAAAAATGTCCCGTAATAACCCTGGCAAGTGTCGCGACAAGTTCTGGTCGAAGAGCAGCTTCATCCAGACTCTAAGGACTTGAACCGCTGTTCTATGTAAGTCCCAAAGTCTCGACAGACGTTTAGATCTGCTTGAGTAAGGTCAGGAAAGTCGTCCAGGACTTCCTCGTCAGTCATGCCCGACGTGAGATATTCCAGCACGTCGGTTATTGTCATGCGTATGCCGCGGATGCAAGGCTTGCCAAAGCGCTTGCCCGACTCGATGGTGAAGACAGGACTGAATTCCCTGGCAGCTTCCATGAACATTTTGTGTTGCTGTAAGAGGCGGTCCATGCCACCTATGGCATCGATCGCCGTTTTCTGGTTTTCGAGTTCCTTGCCCAATTCCGACAAGGCAACAAAAGCTGCCTTATGTTTTTCCAGAATTTGGCCCATGCCGCCGGCATCTTCCAATGCTTCTGCCAACATCTCCAGGGAGCGGGTCCTATCTTGGGTACAGGTACGGGCCTCCACCAATCTTTCCAACTCCGCGGCCAACTTACCGGCGGCTAACCCGGCTTCTCTCTGTTGATCCAGGGCTGAAAATATGTCATTGCTGATGTCCTGCTCTGCCCAGTAGTAGTTGAGCACACGGTCAAATTCGTGGGACTTTATATATACCCGCTCGGCCACGACGCGCCTCTACAAGGACCTAAGAATTGGAGAGCCGGGAATAATGATAGCACAGAGGGTGGGGGTGAATGGAGCGCAGACACCTTCATCCTAACCTTCCCCAGTCGAGGGGAAAGGGACTTGTTCAGAGGTTGCTTAGCTACCCCAACTTCCCCACAACACGCTCGGCCTCTGCTGTGGCCCACGTGTCGGCGGCTACCAGGGCTTCCAGGGTTTCGGCTGGGGTTGGCTGGTGGGTGTTTACCACCGATTCCACGACGCGGTAGATGTCGGTGAAGGCTATTTTGCCATTGAGGAAGGCGTTGACGGCCACCTCGTCGGCGGCGCTGAGGGCGGTGGGGTAGGTCTTTCCCTGGCGGGTGGTGGCCAGGGCCAGGTCGAAGCAGGGGTAACGCTCGGGCTCCATGGGCCGGAAGTCCAGGGCCTGGGCGATGCTGGTGTCCAGGCGGGGTATCAGGGAATCGTCGGGATTGCGGCGTCGCTCGGGGTAGAAGAGGGCGTACTGGATTGGCAGCCTCATGCTGGGGGGGCCAAGCTGGGCCTTGACCGAGCCATCGGTGAACTCGACCATGGAATGGATGGTGCTCTGGGGGTGGACCACGACCTCGATGTTTTCCCAGGGGACATCAAAGAGCCAGTGGGACTCGATGACCTCGAAGGCCTTGTTCATCAGGGTGGCCGAGTCGATGGTTATCTTGGGGCCCATCTGCCAGGTGGGATGATTCAGCGCTTGCTCGGGAGTTACCGCAGCCATTTCCTCCAGGGGCATGGTGCGGAAGGGGCCGCCGGAAGCGGTGATGATCAGGCGGCGGATTTCGTTGGTCTCGCCCTGGATGCACTGCCAGATGGCGCTGGGCTCGCTGTCCACGGGCAGGATGGCGCCGCCGTACTTGCGTTCGTAGTCCTTGAGCAGCGGGCCGGCCATGACTATGGGTTCCTTGTTGGACAGGGCGACGGCCTTGCCCTGGCGCAGGGCGTTGAGGGTGGGCTGGAGGCCGGCGGCGCCGGTGGTGGCGGCCATTATGACGTCCACCTCGGGCAGGCAGACCATGTCCTCCATGGGCATGAAGTCGATGCCGGGGGCCAGGTCTGCAGGCGGGTCGATGCAGTAGACGTGCCGGGGACGGAACTCGGCAATCTGCTGGCGGAAGAGGTCGTGGTTGGCGCCGGCGGCCAGGCCCACCACGTGAAACTCGTCGGGGAAGGAACGGACGATGTCCAGGGTCTGGCAGCCGATGGAACCGGTGCTACCCAGGACGACAATGTTTCTCATGGCCGGAGCACCGCCACTAGCAGATAGTAGACCACGGGGATGGTTATGAGCAGGCTGTCGAGCCGGTCGAGCAGCCCGCCGTGGCCGGGCATCAGCCCGCCGGCGTCCTTGACCTGGGAGAGGCGCTTCAGCTTGGACTCCAGCAGGTCACCCAGTTGAGCCACGATTCCAACTGTAGCACCAATCAGGAGCGGTTGCCAGTTCCAGGTCTGGGCCCATACGCCGGACCAACCCACCGTCCATCCTTCCGTACCCAGTCCCAGGTTGAGGAGTCGCTCAAGGAGGAGGGCGGCGATGATGGCTCCAAAGAAGCCTCCTGCTGCGCCTTCCCAGGTCTTGTTGGGGCTGATGCCGGGGGCCATGGGGTGACGGCCGATGGCCCGGCCGACCAAGTAGGCCCCGGTATCGGTGGCGAAGGTGGTCAGCAGGGCGAAAAGTACCCAGTTCCGGCCCAGGGAGTAGCTGTCGTCGGGAAAGGACAGGAAGTCGAAGGCCGTGGGGTTGGCGTAGAAGAAATTCTCGCCAACCTGGGCAAGTACCAGGACGTGGGCGAGGAGGAAGCCAACGTAGACGGGTCCGCCGTACAGGTAGACCGCAGCCACGGGCCAGCGGGGCCATGGTAGAAGGCGATGAACCAAAGGAGGGCGACAAATCCACCGGCCAGGAACACGCCGAGGGATATGCCCCAAAAATGGAGCAGGCCGTTGGCAGCAGCGCCGCCGATGACGAAGGCCGCAACCCAGACCGCGCCGACCAGGTTGGGAAGGGACGTGGCCGCCGGAAGGCTGGGGGCAGGATTGATGGGCTGTTCTTCGGGAGTGTAGTTACCGCCCTCACGGCCTTCACCGCCCTCATCGTCCAGGGACGCTGGAGAGGCCAGTGCGACAGTCGTCTTGTCGCACGCCGATTGGCTGGGCATGACGGGCTGTTCCGGTTCACGGGTATCGGGTGCGGAGTTATGCAGGTGTGGTTCGACAGGCTCACCACGAGCGGTAATCTGTGAAGGATCGCCGGTTATAAGTGTGGGTTGAGCGGTAGTTTGTGAGAGATCTTCGTCTGTTGCCGAATCGTCAACGAGTTCCAGGACGTTGGTTTCGGGAACTGCAACTTCCGGCGTTGGCAACGAAGTGTCGGTTTCCGGCGCTGGCAGCGAGTTGTCGGGCGCTGGCAATGAACTGTCGGGCGGGTGCAGGCGGTAGAATTCGCGGATGCCCAGGATGGCGGCCAGCAGGGTGATGAAGAAGACTCCGGGGAGGCCGCCCCAAAGGCAGGCAAACAAGATGGCGAGTCCCACCAGGGCGGTGATGGTCCGGAGCAGCAAGGGGGCCTAACCCTTGGAGTCAGGAACGACGTTGCCGAATCGCCGCTGCCGGCTGCCATAGGCGGCCAGGGCCCGGTCCAGTTCAGCCTCGTCCAGGTCGGGCCAGAGGACGGGGGTGTGGTAGTACTCGCTGTAGGCGGACTGCCAGAGAAGAAAGTTGCTGATCCGCAACTCGCCGCCGGTGCGGATGATCAGGTCAGGGTCGGGACAGTGGGGCGGTGAAGAGGCGGGCGCTGAAGAGTTCCTCGGTTACCTCTTCCGGGGCGATGCCCTCGCGGATCAACTGCTGAACGGCGGTGAGGATTTCCTGGCGGCCACCGTAGTCGAAGGCCACGTTGAGGACGATACCGGTATTGGCGCTGGTCTCGTCCTGGATGTGCTCTACGGCGCGGCGAACGGCCGGGGAGAGGCGGTCGGCGTTGCCGATGTGGAAGACACGGACATTCTTCTTCTTGAAGAGGTCGGTCTCGCGCTGCAGGGTTTCGTGCAGCAATTCGATGAGACCTTCGACCTCGGCAGAGGGGCGGGCCCAGTTTTCGGTGGAGAAGGCAAAGATGGTGAGGTATTCCACGCCGCGGGCAGCCAGCAGGTCAACGACTTTGGGTATGGCACTGACGCCCTCGCGGTGACCGGAGAGCCGGGGCAGACCCTGGCTTTCCGCCCAGCGGCCATTTCCGTCCATGATTATGGCCACATGGCGGGGTACGCCGGTGCGGTCGACGCCGTCGGGTTTTCCCCTGGCGCCAGCTTGCCGGCTGGCCGTGGAAACGGAGGTGTGCTGCAGGTTGGCCGAGCCGGTGCGGGCTTTCATATCCTGATCCGGGGGCTAGACCTGCAAGATCTCCGCTTCTTTAGCGGTGGAAACCTGGTCAATATTCTTGATGAAGGAGTCGGTGGTCTTCTGTAGCTGGTCCTGGCTGCGCCGGTTCTGGTCCTGGGAAATGGCCTTGTCCCGCTCAAGTTTACGCAGGGATTCGAGGCCGTCGCGGCGGACGTTGCGGACGGAGACCTTGCCCTCTTCGATCTTGCGCTTGAGGAGGCGCACCAGTTCCTGGCGGCGTTCCTGGTTCAGAGGCGGGATAGGAACGGTGATCATGTTGCCGTCGTTGGAGGGATTGAATCCCATCTCCGACTTCATGAGGCCTCGCTCAATGTCGCGCAGGGCCTGCTTGTCCCAAGGCTGGACCATTATTGCCCGAGCGTCCGGCGCGGAGATTGATGCAATCTGCTTGAGGGGCGTGGGCGTTCCGTAATAGTCCACGCTTACGTTTTCGATGAGTGAGGGGGTAGCCCGGCCGGTACGCAGGCTGGCAAGTTCCCGGTCCAGGGCTTCCATGGCCCGGCCCATCTTGCGTTCCACTTCGGTAAGAACTTCTTCAGGGGTTAACTGGATTTCGGCGTCATTATCCCTATCTGGCATGGTCAATCCTCCCGTTGCTGTGCCTGTCTCAGGGGCGAAGCCGCCAAGATGGTTGGCAGGCTTCGGCTCATTTTCCAGTGTGTGCCGCAGAAACCGAACCTCCGGCCAAGGGATTTTCCCTGGGCCGGACAGGCGCTTGCCTAGTCCGTTGCGGCGATGGTTGTTCCCACGGTATCACCGCTCAAGATGCCTTGCATGGTACCCTGTTCAAAAATGTTGAAGACCACGATGGGCAGCTTGTTTTCCATGCACAGGGAAACGGCGGTGGAGTCCATAACCTCAAGGCGCCGGTTGAGGGCTTCAAGGTAGTCAAGGCTAACAAATCTCTTGGCATCCGGATTGATGTGGGGGTTGGAGTCATAGACTCCGTCCACATTGTTCTTGGCCATCAACAGGACCTCGGCGCCAATTTCCAGGGCACGGAGGGCGGATGCCGTGTCGGTGGTCATAAACGGGTTGCCGGTGCCGGCGGAGAAAATCACCACGCGGCCCTTTTCCAGGTGCCGCATGGCGCGGCGGCGGATGTAGGGTTCGGCAACGGCCTGAATCTGCAGGGCGCTTTGAGTACGGGTAATGATGCCCCGCTTTTCCAGGGCGTCCTGCAACGCAAGGGCATTCATGATGGTGGCCAGCATGCCGGAATAGTCGGCGGTAGCCCGGTCCATGCCCCACCTTTCGGCCTGGCCGCCTCGCCAGATGTTGCCACCACCGATGACAATGGCCAACTCAATGCCCATCTGGTGAACGTCCCCGATTTGCTGTGCCATGTAGTTCAGCGCGTCGGGGTCAATGCCGGTAGGGGCGGAACCCTTCAGAGATTCTCCGCTAATTTTGAGCAGTACCCGTCGGTACTTGGGCACAAGCATAGGTTCAGGGATGTTTATTCCTCTAGGGCCAGACGGCTGAACCGGACAACCCGGACGTTCTCGCCGACCTTGGCGGCCAGTTCCTGCACAATATCGGACACTACCTTGGAGCTGTCCTTGATGAAGGTCTGCTGGAGCAGACAAACTTCGCTGGCAGAGCGGCCGTCGCCCTCCTCGATTTCTTCGTTGCTGATGTAAACGGGGCCCATGGCCGCCACCTGCATGGCAATGTCGTGGGCCACCTGCTTGAATTCTTCGTTTCGGGCCACGAAGTCGGTCTCGCAACCCAGTTCGACCAGAGCACCCACCCTACCGCCGGTGTGGATGTAGGCCTCAATGACTCCCTCGGTGGTTTCCCGGTCGGCGCGCCGGGCGGCTCGGGCAAAGCCTTTTTGACGCAGGGCATCAGAGGCTTTGTTCATGTCGTTATCATTGTCTTCAAGGGCCTGTTTGCAGTCCATGATGCCTGCGCCAGTCTGGTCGCGCAGGGCCGGATTTGTTCAACGCTAGCTGGCAAGGATCTCCTCCATGTATGGATGTTTGGGGCCCGAGTGGGCCCGTAGTTTATTCGTGTGTGCGGCCATGTACAGTTAAGGGCGGTCAGGGGTCAGGAGCGATTTACTATGTACCGGAATCTTCAGATTCCGGTACATCCAGGAATGCCTTTACTTCGGGCGTGTCAGGCAACATCATTACTCCGTTGACTTCCACGCCGAACCGTTCGCAGGCTTCCTTTCTTCGTTGTCGTTGAGCCCTTCGTTGCTCCTGTCGTCCCTGGTCCAGTATTTTTCTTATCGCATCCGGTATGAGCAAGACCATGCAGCCCATTACCTGAACAAGAACTCTGAACGCCACGGAGGCGCCAAAGGCCTTATTGGACTTTACTCCAGGAAGCGACGGGCCGACGCATTAATTAACCGGCCATTTACCCTAGGCTTCGCTTCCTTCAGCTTCCCCGTCACCCCGGCTGGCCTGTTCCATCATCTGGGCGAGGTCGTCCAGGGGCATGGAAGCCAGGGCCACATGTTCGGCCTCTTCGTCGGACATTTCCTCGCCTGTCTCACCCGCCTCGGCAGCCAGGGCGTCGGCCTCGGCTTGAGCGGCAGCTTCGGCCAGGGCCCGCTGTTCCTCCATCAACGCTTCTCGCTCGGCCTTGCCTTCCAGGATGGCGGAAGCCAGGCGACCGGTGACCAACCGAATGGACCGGACGGCGTCGTCATTGCCGGGGATGGGGTGGCTTACCAGGTCCGGGTTGGTATCGGTGTCCACTATGGCGAATATGGGAATACCCATCCGGCGCGCCTCGGCGACACAGATGTCCTCTTTGCAGATGTCAATGATGAACATTGCCTGGGGCAGAGTGGTCATGTTGCGAATGCCGAGGGAAGTACTTTTCCAGCTTGGCCAGGGTCTCTTCCAGCTTCAAGCCTTCCTTCTTGGGGAGGACACGGAAATAACCCTGGTCGCGCTTCTGCTGCAACTCGATCATGTAGTTGATGCGAGTGCGGATGGTCTGGAAGTTGGTGAGGGTGCCGCCAAGCCAGCGCTGGTTGATGTACCACATTCCGCAGCGTTCAGCCTCGCTCATCATAACTTCCTGGGCCTGCTTCTTGGTGCCCACGAAGAGGATGTTTCCACCATTTGCCGCTACCTGTATCATGGCCCGGTAGGCCTCGTTCATCAGACCGAGGGTTTGCTGCAGGTCGATGATGTGAATCCCGTTACGCTGGGTGAAGATGTACCGCTTCATGCGGGGGTTCCAGCGGCGAGTCTGGTGTCCGAAATGAACACCGGCTTCGAGGAGGGATTTCATCGTCAGGGGTTCACGCTGGGGAGCGGGAGGAGGAGTTGCCACGGGGGCTTGTTCGGCAGGACGCTCAATAGACTGTACCATAAACACTGTCCTTATAACTGCTATCGCAGGATTTCCAGAAGTATAGCACAGGGGCAGTTTTTCCGGCAATGAGAATTGCTTAAAGGTGTGGCCACCAGTCGTCAATACTATCTGACTTTGGTGCGGGTGGGGCCTCAATTGCAGATGCCAAGAGCACAAATGCTGGTACCAAGAGCACTGCTACCAAAAGCAAAGGGACCTGAACCTGCTACGGCGGAGTGGGTCTGCTTCCTAGTTGAGGAATTGCGAAGCCCAAGCCAGCTGGGAAGATAACCATGAGAACAGCGCCGTAGATCCCCGCAACCACGTCGTCGGCCATTATGCCCCAGCCGCCGGGCAGGCTTTCCATCCGGTTGGCTGGCCAGGGCTTGAGCACGTCAAAGACGCGGAAGCACACAAATGCGATTGCCAGCCAGACAGGTTCCGGGGGTACGAGGAGACAGGTTATCCACATGCCCACAAAACTCGTCCCAAACTGCACGGCCGGGGTCGGGTTCTTCTTCAGTAACCAGGAGACCGGTGGCCCAGATTCCTAAAGGCAAGCCAACAACAATTAAGAGAGTTAACAGGAAAACACCATCGAGGCTCCAGAAAAATCGGGGTGAGATGACCAGTTGAGGCGGGAGGATGAGGAAGATCGCATAGTAAATGACGACAGCAGCAAAGCTACCCATGGTGCCGGGCGCCACGGGACAGAGGCCCGAGCCGAATCCAAGGCCGATGGCTCTTCCGATGCGTTTAATTGCGGTCACGGTTCGATTGGTTAGTGAAGGTTGGTGGGAATATTATGCGGGCTTTCATCGAGGTGATCCTTCGACAAGCTTAGGATGAGCGGGTTCGTCCGTCCGAACCTTCGACAGGCTCGGAATGAGCGTGTTAGTTGCTCGTCGCAAGCAGATTGGGCGTAGGAAGCGCGGGCCGAATCAATTTCCGGTCATAGGTTTAGCAACTTCGTATCCCTTCGGGTGTCAAGCTACCCGTAGCCCAGCCGGTGCAGGTCGTCTTCGTCCATGCCCAGGTAGTGACCCACCTCGTGCCACAGGGGTTATGCGGATTTCGCGGACGACTTCGCGGCGGGTCTCGCAGCTTTCCAGAATGGGCTGGCGATAGAGGGTAATGCGGTCGGGCAGGGAAGGTGGCAACCCTTCCCTATCTGTCAGAGGTACTCCGTAGTACAGACCGAATAGTGTGCTCCCTTCCTCCAGCAGTTCCTCCTCATCAGGACCCGGCCATTCTTCCACCGTGATGTCGACGTTTTCCAGGGCGTCCAGCACATGAAGCGGCAACCGGCGGTAGGCCCGCCGCACCAGGCGGATAAATTCGGGGTAACTGACTTCAACCAAGCTTAATTTCCATACTGGGAAATTATCTTCCACGAAGAACCACGAAGGGAAAAATGATAGTGACTTGATTAGCTTCTTCGTGGTTCTTCGTGTCCCTTCGTGGACAGAGATTAGAGCCCCACTTCCTGCCTAATCCTCTTCAAAATGTCTATGTTTTGCTGGTCGGGGCCGTCGCCTTCGAAGCCGGGGACTTCCAGGAAGAAGGGAACGTCTTTGAAGGCCGGATTGCCCATGATGCAGGCAAAGCCCTGTTCGCCGATGTAGCCCTCGCCAATGTTGTCATGGCGGTCAACGCCGGAGCCGCAAAGCTGCTTGGAGTCGTTGGCATGAACTGCCGCCAGCTTGTCGGCGCCGATGGCCTCGTCAAACTGGGCGATCATGGCCTCCACGCCGTCGATAGTGGTCAGGTCGTAGCCGGCGGCAAAGCTGTGCTGAGTGTCGAGGCAGATGCGGAGGCGGGGGTTGTCCACCGCCTGCAGGATACCGCCAAGCTCCTCGAACTTGGCTCCGATGTGCTGGCCCATGCCGGCCATGTTCTCCAGGCACAGATAGGGGCCCTCGGGAGAGTTGTCCAGCACCCGCTTGATGGCTTCGACTGCCTGGCCGGCTACCTGGTCGTAGCCCTGCCCCTTGTGGCTGCCGGGGTGGAATATGACGCCGTCAGCCTCGATATTGGCGGCCAGGGTCATGTAGTTGATCAAGGACTGCACTCCCTTCTCCACCAACTCCGGGTTGGGGCTGCCGAGGTTGATGAGGTAGATGGCGTGAAAGAAGACGGCGCCCATGCCCGCTTCGGCGCGGCGTTCCTTGAAGGCAGCGACTTCCTTTTCGGCCGGGTGTTTGAAGGCCCAGGTCCGGGCGGATGAGCCGAAAATCTGGATGGCCTCGCAGCCGATTTCCAGGCCCCGGTCAATGGACTTGCTGATGCCACCGGCGGATGAAACGTGGGCTCCGATCTGCATGGTGTTCTCCTTTTTCGTATAAGGGAATGAAGGAACGATGACTCTTGGGAATGAATTTGCAACATTATACCCGTTGTTCCAGGAACTTGGGGTAGCGGGCACAGGCACATTGCCAGGGGCACGACCGTACCCTGGGTCTGCCGAGGATTCCCCAGGGACGAAGGTGTTGCACAATATGAAAGGGGCCGCCGGCGCTTCCGGCGACCCCATTTCAATGCTCTGCTCTGGAAGGACTCAGGGTCCCTACCGCAGAGGTGCGGCGTAGATTTGGCCTCCCTTGGGGCACTCGGTGCAGGGGGCCGCGCTCCAGAGGGCGTTGCGGCTGCCTTCCCGGGCAATTCCCAGGGGAGCCAGGTGGCGGTCATAGATTTCCCCGTAGTTGCCCACGGCCCCAATGACGTCCTGGGAGACGGTCAGGCTCAGGCCCAGGTCTTCCTGGCCGAAGGCGCCTTCCAGCCCCAGAATACGGTCCACCGGTGTGTTGCCCGTTGGTGAAGTGGGAATGTCGTCGGAGGTGATGCCGTAGGCCTCGGCGTAAATTAGGATGGCCATAACCATTTTGACTATGTCATACCACTGGTCGTCGCCGCTGGGAACGACGGGCCCCAGGGGTTCCTCGGATATGGTGCCGGGCAGGATGGTGTGGTCATCGGGGTTGGGGAGACCCTGGCGGGTGCTGACCAGGCCGGACCGGTCGGTGGTGAGGGCATCGCACTGGCCGTTGGTGTAAGCCTCGTCGGTGCTGATGTTGTCCGGGAAGGTCAGAATCGAAAAATTCATGGAGTTCTGGTTGTCAAAGTCCTGCAGGTTCAGTTCGGTGGTGGTGCCTTGCTGTACGCACACGGTGGCATCCCTGAGGTCCAGGATGGTGGAGGCCTCCAGGCTGTTGGGAGTCATGAAACCCTGCCCATCGTAGAACATGGTCGGCGCAAAATTACCCCACTGTACGTCCCGGGACGAGGTCCAGGTTGTGTTTCGGGACATCAGGTCTATCTCGCCGGACTGCAACAGGGGGCCACGCTCGGCGGCGGTGGTGCTGCGGAGTTCAACCGCGTCGGGGTTTCCCAGGACGGCGGCGGCCACGGCACGGCAGAGATCAATGTCGAAGCCCTTGACGTTACCGCTGGCATCCGAGTATCCAAAACCGGCCAAAGTGTCATTGCTGGAACATACCACGGCGCCCCTGGCTCGCACCCTGTCTAGCCGCGTGGTCTGGTCTTCCGGCTCGGGCATTGCTGCCTGAACCCTGGCCTCCACGGTGGCTTCAATATCGGGTGTGGGCGCAGCCGGGGCAGCGCTATCCTCGTTGGAGGTGCAGGCTGCAAGCAATGTCAGTATAAGGGCGGCAAGGATGGCGGTGATCCAAGGATATTTTCTCATATCAGAAGTAACGCTCCTTGTGGTATCGGTGTAAGAAAGGGGTCTGCGGTCAATTGTGCCACGCAATGCGAGGCTTTGCATAGAAATTGCGAGGCCTTGTTTAGAAATGGAGGGCACGATGGGACGTTGGCAGGCCGGTGGGAACTCGTCCGTAACGGGGCTGTAGAATCAGTAATAGAGTAGTAGAATGAAGCCGACCATTCTCGCCAATTAGACCGGGGAGGAGCTTTAAGTCCAAGCCGGGCCGGATTGCCTTGCATCCTTGCTAAACAAGGCTTGTCAGCCACTTCAAAATTGGATAGACTGGGGTACGTTTAAGCACGATACTAGGGAGGAGGTATCTAAGTTTAGCATTATGTTTGATCAGAACGCGTTAACCGCTTTGTTCGACGAATTGCGCGATGAATACGAACTGGAGCCCGAATGGGAAGAAATCCAGCGGGATGCCCACCTGGCGGTAGCCAGGGTGGACGCCGGCCAGCCGATAGGCAATGTCGATGCCCGCGTTGGTCCTCTGGTTGAAAAGCATAATCCCGGTTAGTAGTTTCTGTTCTGCTTCAGGATAGAAAAAGGGACGGAGCGACAGTTCCGTCCCTGATTTTTTGCGTGGCCCCCGGCGCTTCCTCGAATTACCTCTCCAGCATTCCTGATTTCCACGGCATGCCTGTCCATCAGAAATAGTTCATTCGCCGCTGCTGGTACAGGTAGAACCCGACAATACCTGCGGGGATCGCCAGCACCACCAGCGTCAGGATAATTACCAGCACCCACGGCTCGAAGGTTACCAGGTGATCAAGCTGGGACTTCAGCCAGGCCAGGAAGTCCGGGTCGACTATGTCGTCGTGGTGGGCGGCCAGATTTAACAGAAGCGCGGACAACTTCGCCGGAAGCCACTGACCTATTAGCGACTGACCCACTAGCCATTGCGCTGGCAGCCACAAACCCAAACCAAGCATACCCATAGCCCTTAAAGGGTTGAGTTACCCCGGCCCGGCTAATCGCCGGCCGCGGGGACTGCCGCCGGCGTCATCCGCTGGTAGCGCGAGGAGTACTTCTTCTCCTTGATGGAGAAGGCAAACACCGACGCGGGGAACAGCAACAGGCCGGCGATAAGGAAGGGCACAGTGTAAGAGCCGGTCAGGTCGAAGAGGAATCCGGCCAGCCAGATGCTGAGGGCGCTGCCGGCAGCGTGCACCAGGAAGGCGATGCCGGAAATGGTTCCCAGGGCCCTTACCCCGTAAACATCAGCGATCAATGCGGTGGTCAGGGGCGCGGTGGCGATCCAGGAGGTTCCCGCAATTATGGCGAAAATCACCAGGGCCGGAGCTCCCAGACCCAGGAATTCCACCGCGGCAAGCATCGACAGGTAGGCCGTGCCCCGAACGAAGTAGACCAGGGCCAGCATGTTCTTGCGGCTGAACTTGTCGGACAGGATGCCTGCGCCGATGCTGCCCACCACGTTCAGGCCCATCATCAGCGAAAAAATGATAGCGGCCAGCATTTCCCCGTCCAGCTTGAACCACAACAGGTTATATGACGCCTTTTCCGTCAAGCCCAACGAGTATGCGAAAGGAATGAAGTGGACCGACAGGACGGCGGTGGTGTACCCGCAGGCAAAGTAGGCGATGGTCATCTGCCACATAGGCATGGAACGCAAGGACTGAGCCCAGCGGTCGGTATCCAGTATCCCGGCCACGCGTCCGGCGATCGAACCGGGCGTCGAGCCCGGAAGCGACTCGTCGCCGTCCGGATTCAGGTTCATGTCCTTGGGGTCGTCTCGTAGGAAGAAGAAAGCCAGCGGCACTGAAAGCGCCAGAATCAGCACACCGAAAGCGATCCAGGTGATGCGCCAGTTGGTGGCCTGGAGCAAGTACATGCCGAAGGGCACCAGCAGCAATCCGCCGGCGGACAGCCCGGCGGCGTTAAGCCCGACGACCGTTGCGCGCTTTCGCCGGAACCAGCGAGACAGGAGGGTACCGGTGTTGTTCAGCGACATTCCGCTGAGGGCCACCGATGAGACGAAGCCAAAAATAAAGATCAGATATAACAGATGGAAGGTGAGGCTGAGGGCCACCGTGGCCAGGCCGAAAATGGCAATGCTGGAGACGATAACTTTGCGGCCGCCGAAGCGGTCCAGCAACCGGCCCATAAAGGGTTGAGTCAGGCCATTGACCAGAAAGCCCAGGGCGGCAGCGAAGGAGATTGTGCCGCGGCTCCACTCGAACTCCTCGCTCATGGGAAGGACGAAAATTCCGAAACTGTTGCGGGCGCCGTTGGTTACGAAGGCCACGAAGATGCAGGTGGCAACGATGTACCAGCCATAGAATACCGGCTTGCGTTCCTTGACCGGGGAGACTGTGCTCATCATTGCCGTCCATCTGTGGGATAAGCGAACCGGAGGTTGAGCCAACGGAACGGTAGGTAAAGCGAAGGTCAAGGGCCAGTATACACCCGTCAGGAAGAAAGGTTTAGCTAGCAGGCGGCTGGGTTCAGAGCAATCGCTTCTCAGGAAAATGTCATGCCGAAGCCTTCGGATATGCTCAGGATGAACTTCGCGAAGCAACTGAAATCCCGCACTTGATGCACGGCCAGGAATCAGCAGCCGTCTTGAAAGGAAAGGCCTTAGACCCCTCGGCAGGCTCAGGATAACATAACTGGGATTTCTCTTTTACCGGGTGACCCGATGTACTTTCAGTATCCCTCCGTCCCGGTTCGATGAGGGGGGAACGGGTCAGGGAGGCGTGGTTGAGGGGACCGTGGAGGGCTGAAAACCCTTGAACAAAGTATTACACATTGACCAAAAATGAGAATGTATAAAATTAATATAAAAAAGACAGCAATTACCGTTGACACGATCTTCCCGAGATTGATAACGTCAGGCCAGTGATGGTGGTGAAGGGTTAGTGTGTGGATCACATCTCCGTATCACTCTACATTACCGCCGTTCGGGGCTTCTGCAGAGCCTCGCATCGGTCTCTAAAGACTCTCTCATGACTCTCAAGGGTTGGAGAGACGTCGATCAATCGTCGGCCAGGGGCATGGTTGGGTTGGGTTGCCCGTAGACAAGTTGAACCGGTTAGCTGCCGTAAATCCCGGGTTTAGACCGGCATCCACGTTTTAGTCTTTGCCAGGTCTTCGCGAGGTAAACGGCACGGCGCCGGTGTCCCAATTCCACTCTTTTGGCCCCGGCAGTTCGGACAGAGGACGAGGCGTCCCAACGGGAGATAATGGTTCCTCTGTCGGCACATTGGCAAGGAGTTTCCGGTCCGTAGGCCTTCTCGTATTTCCACTGGCAGCGGTCCGGAGCCCGGTAGGTCAGAGATGGCAGATCAGGCAGAAGGGGTAATAGTGCCTTTTCACCTTCCCGTGTTGTTGACGGAGGTATTGGGTCAGTTGGGTGTTCGCCCGGGCGGTGTGTATGTAGATGGGACAGTGGGGGATGGAGGCCATGCGTTGGCCTTCCTCCGGGCGTCCGCCCCTCTTGGGAGTGTGTGTGGTATCGACCTGGACCCTCGTTCCCTGGTCCGAACTGAGCAGCGTCTGGCTCCCTTTGGAGTGCAATTTACTCCAATATTGGGAAGCTATGCCGAGATGGTATCCCTGGTCCAAGGGATGTTGGGAAGTGAGGCAAGGGCAGACGGGGTTCTGCTGGATTTGGGGATATCCTCTCGGCAAGTGGACGGCTCCGGTTTTGGTTTCAGCTTTCAGCAAGACGAACCGCTGGACATGCGCTTCAATCCGGAAGCAGACATTCCCACGGCGGCCGATATCGTGAACACCTGGTCCCGAGAGGGCCTGGTGGCCGTTTTGAGGGAGTACGGCGAAGAGCCTCGGGCAGGAGCCATAGCATCGGCGATAGTCCGGCAGAGGCCCATCAGCAGTACCGTCCAACTGGCGAGTGTGGTGGCGGGGGCGGCAGGGAGGCAGTCAGGGCGAAGTTCACGGAGCGGAGCCGGTCGGAGGACCAGCAGGACACATCCGGCAACCCGCACCTTTCAGGCCCTGCGCATTGCGGTTAACGACGAACTGAACACGCTGACAACCGGGCTGCAGGCGGCAGTGGACTTGCTGGCCCCCTCGGGAAGGTTGGCGGTAATCAGTTACCACAGCCTGGAGGACCGGCGGGTAAAGACCTTCCTGGCAAGGGAGGCGGCGCAGTGTATATGCCCACCCAGGTTGCCGGTGTGCGTATGCCAGCACCAGCCCAGGGTAAGCCTGGTCAACCGGCGGATTATAAGGCCCAGCGCCGGGGAAATAGCGGAGAATCCGCGCAGTCGCAGCGCCCGAATGAGAGTAGCCCAGCGCCTGGCTGAATAGAGATAACGGGCTAAAGAGAAAGCAAGCCCGGGCCAGACGCAGGGGCAAAAAGGTAATGTTGGTGATTCCGGTTAATCACTCTGGTTTCAGAAGGACGGAACATCTTGGCTAAAGAAACATTCTACACGGCAGTGGATATTGGCAGCAGCAAAGTTGTCACCGTCGTGGCCCGAGTGGGCAGCGAAGGCGAGTTGAAGGTGCTTGGCACCGGCATCGCCCCGTCCCAAGGGATGCAAAAGGGATGTATCGACGATATTGAAGAGGTCAAAGAGGCGGTCCGCACCTCCATAGCGGAGGCCCAAAAGTACGTGGGCAAGGGTTACAACCCGGGCGCCTACGTGGTGGTCAGCGGCGGTCACATTTACAGCAGCAACGTAAAGGATGTGATGGAGCATCCTACCGATCTGGGCAGCATTTCATCCAGTGACATGCACCAGTTTATCCAGTCATCCTTCCCGGCTTTGGGGGAAGGTCAGGAAATACTTCATATTATTCCCATCGGCTACGCGGTGGATGGCCTCTCCGGTGTGCGGAACCCAATTGGCCTGCACGCCAACCAGGTAGAGTTGGAGGCCCACGTAGCCATAGGCGACGCAGTAATTCTCAAGAATACAGTTAACGCGGTGGAGTCCAACCGGATGCCGGTGAACAGCCTGGTGCTGCAGTCGCTGGCGTCGGCTGAAGCCACCCTGACCGCCGACGAACGCGAACTGGGTGTCGTGCTGATAGACATAGGAAGCGGCACCACCGACGTAACGGTTTTCCAGTACGGTAGTCCCTGGTTGTCCACGGTGCTGCCGGTGGGTGGAAGCCAACTGACCCGGGACCTGGCAGTGGCCGAGCGAATTCCCTTCCATGTGGCGGAAGATGCAAAGATCAAACGGGGCAACGTAATGCCCGAACTGGTAGACCCTGATGAAGAGCTGATTCTTTCTGGCGGGCAGGGGCAGTCCCAAAAGCTGGTAAAGCGCCGGCACCTGTGCGAACCGCTCAATGCCCGCATGTACGAAATACTTCAAATGATTGTTCAGCGGATGTCCCAGGCCGGCCTGAACCGCCTGCCCGACGGGGGCGTGGTCTTTACCGGCGGCAGCGCCGATATAGCGGGCCTGCAGGAGTTTACGGAGAGCGTGCTGGGAGAGCCGGTACGGATCGCCTATCCCACGGGAGTGGCCGGCCTGCCTACCCAACTGCGCAAGCCCGGCTTTTCCGCAGCGGTGGGAACCCTGCTTTGGGGCATCAAGCACCAGGGAGAGGGCCGCACTTACCGGGCGCCCGAAGAATCAGGCAAGGGTTACAAGTCTCTGCTCAGCATTTTCAAGCGCAACCGGGAGAAGGTTGCCGGATAGGCGACGCTTGAGAGAGAAGTTCCTACCGGACCAGGCCAGGGGGTTGCCACGGGAACGGGCAAGCAACTGCCGGGGCACGGGAGGAGACCGGACAAAGTAAAAATTCTCGAACCATTCAGGAATTCGGAGGAATGTAATATGGTATTTGGAAGCTCAGCGTCCTGGGAACCCGGCAGAGACAACAACGAAAACTACAATGCCATGCCGGAAATTGCTCGGGGAGTACCCCTGATTAAGGTCCTGGGTGTAGGCGGCGGCGGCAGCAACGCGGTCAGCAGGATGTACAAGGACAAGCTCCCGGTGGTGGAGTACTATGCCCTGAATACCGACGCCCAGCACCTGTTCCGGTGCGACGTTTCTCACCGCATTGCCCTGGGCCAGAGCCTCACCCGCGGCTTGGGCTCCGGCGCCCAGCCCGAACTGGGTCGCCAGGCGGCGGAAGAGTCCCGCGCCGAAATTGAGAAAGCAGTAGATGGCGCAGACATGGTATTCGTTGCCGTAGGCATGGGCGGCGGCACCGGCACCGGCGCGGCCCCGGTGGTGTGCCAGATCGCCAAGGAATCCGGCGCCCTGACCGTAGCGGTTGTCAGCCGACCCTTCTCCTTCGAGGCTGCTGCCCGGCGCAAGAACGCTGACGAAGGCATTGAGCGCCTCAAGGACCACGCCGACACCGTCATCGTGATCCCCAACGACCGGTTGCTGGAGTTGAATCACGAGAAGGACCAGACCTTTACCTGGGAAGATGCCCTGAAGATGGCCGACTCGGTACTGCACCAGGGTGTCCAGGCCATTGCCGAAGTGGTAACCGTGCCCGGCGAGATCAACGTTGACTTCGCCGACGTAAAGACCATCCTCACCAACGCCGGTCCGGCCTGGCTGGCCATCGGCCGGGGCAAGGGCGAGAAGCGGGCCGTTGATGCGGCGAAGATGGCCACCCGCAGCCCGCTGCTGGACATCGCCATGGACGGCGCCAAGCGGATCCTCTTCGTAATCACCGGCGGAACCAACCTGTCCCTGCAAGAGGTTCAGGATGCCGCCGCGGTGCTGGAAGAGATGTCCGACCCGGAGGCCAACATCATCTTCGGTACCAGCCGCGACCCGCGCCTGGAAGACGAGGTAAAGATGACCATGGTGGCGGCCGCCTTTCCGGTAATGCAGGACAACCAGAAGCAGCGGGAAGCCGAGTTGCAGCAGTTGTTGCAGGATATCCCCCAGGATAGCCTGGACGACCTGGATGTGCCGAGCTTTCTGCGGCGCCAGTCCGGCGGAAGCCGCCGCGGATTTTTTCGATAACCCGGAGGCCGGCGACGACCATTCCGCCGGCCAAATAATCGGCCATACCCGGGACTTTGAAGGGTTGGCCCGGCAGGAAGAACGCCGGTCCGGGGTATGGCGAAAGTTCTGGCCCAGGGGAAAGTAGAGTCAGCGCAAGGTTAAGGTCAAGGAAGTCAAAAAATGGATGAAACCGGCAAGCTTTCCCCTTGCCGGTCTCCAAACCAAAGTGATAACTTACTACCAGATTCCTAATGAGAGGAATATTCTCGGAGGCTCCTAGCAGTAGTACATTTTTTTCCAGTATCGCTGACCATTTGAGCGCCGAGAACCTGCTTTAGGCCGACCCGATTATCGGGTCGGCCTGCTTCTTTTTCGCCCTCTTTACAACGGTAACGGCGCGCCGGACGCTCATTATCTTCCGGTATCCCTTTTCATTCATTTTCAGGGGCGATACCTCTTGGGTAACGCCTGCCTGTTTAGTCCCTCTCTTCCAACTCCTGCTCATATCCTCACACTTCATTTCAGGCTTCTTCGCTGCGTCTCATTGCACTCGCGACGCTTTGCGTTATTGCTGTTGCCCTTTAGTGGGCAGGGGCAGTTCCCTGGATGACGGAAAAGGTTGACGGTCTGAAGAGTTCGTGAAAATTGGATAAATACTGTTTTTCGGGGGCCCAAAATACCTTGACTAAGGAATTCAAGGAATTATAGAATCCGGCCTACCAAAAAAAGAGCTATTGGGCTACTATAAGTAGTACTGTTCAAGAGCGGAAATACAAGATAAAGTATTTTTTAAACAGTTCTTAAAATTGTTTAAGAAATCGGACAAGGGCAATGCGGTGTCCCTACTGTGGTTCCATCGATTCCAGGGTAACGGATTCGCGGAACGTGCAAAACGGTGTTCGAAGGCGCCGGGAATGCCTGGAATGCCACCGCAGGTTCACCACCTACGAGCGGATTCATAACAGTGGTGTTATGGTAACCAAACGGGATAACCGGCGCGAAGAGTTCGACAGGGAAAAGTTGGCCGGCGGGATCCGGAAGGCATGCGCCAAGCGACCCGTTCCCGCCCACACCATAGAAAGGCTTGTTGAGGAGATAGAAGGGGAACTTCAGGGGCAGGGTGAGGTGACCGCCAGTCAGATTGGCGAAGTGGTAATGGAACAACTGAAGAGCCTGGATCGGGTGGCCTACATCCGATACGCCAGTGTCTACCGGGACTTCCAGGACATCGACAGTTTTGAGCAGGCGGTAAAGGACTTGCGAGAGGGGGGTGGCACTCAGCTAACTCTCCCGCACATAGAACCGGGGCCCAGTCGGCAGCGTCGCCGGGTAACGAGAGGGCGAAGGACACGAGACCACGAAACAACCCTTTCCGACCCCAACCTCGAACAGGAAGCCAGCGGCGCGGAAGACCTGGCAGCAGCCGAGGATGAAGAGTCCGGCGGCAATGTCGAGGAAACAGTTTCAGCCGACGGGGAAACCGAAACGATAGAAGGTCTTTAAATCCACTCACCAACCCGCACCAGATTAAGCGGGGCCGGAATATTAAGGAGTTTCTCAAATGGCTAACAGCGCCCAATACTCTGCCCTTACCCGGCTTTTGAGCCACAACACACGGGTTCATGAACTGGAAGACCTGTTGCTACGACTGCCCATTACTGAGGAAATGGCCTTCATGGATGAGGACTCGCTAGTTATTGAAGACGAGGAGTTCAGCAACCCGATAGCCGACCTGCAGGACGATATTGACAAGGAAGTCCGGGCCAGCCTGGTGGCTTGCTGGTTCGCAATGCCAACGGACGTGGACGAGTTGGACGGCCTGGACCACGTATAGGGTAACGCGCGCACCGGGCAAGTTTTTCAGATACCCGCCGCGAAGAAGTGGGTAAGGACAAGGGACACGAAGGGCGGAGTGGGCAGCAGCGGGGCAAACGAGGGAAAAAAGCAGAAGAGCAGAAGCAGGGAACTGGACACGGTTCCCAACCGTAGGAAACAGGGAAATATCAGGCGCCGGGTCGCAGATGTCCCGGCCAGACAGCAGGAAGGGTAGCGAGTTTCAACCAATGGAATCAGTAAATAGCCAAATACGACAAACTTCCATGCTGGCGGGTACCACCGCAGATAGCACAACAGCAGGTACCGGGCCCGGCGGGATGGCGGACATACTGACAGATGCCCGATGCGATTTTGGAACAAATGTGTTAAAACAGGGAGAGGAGTCGGAAGAAGATCCATGAGGCCCGATTCCAGGGTGGCGGCGGTGGTGACCCCGGAGAACCGTCTCTAGTGAAGGGGCCGAGAATGGCCCGAATAGCCACTGGAAGCTTCCTTCGCCCGGGTGGGCGATCATCTTCGATGCCATGAAGATGGGGGTGTGCTGTTTTCCATTTACGCCCGTCGGTGGGAAAGCAGCGCGAAAGAGAAGAGTTTTCTCTGCCAGTTGAAGTCATGAGGTCGCCGGAGAGCGGCCTGTTCAACGCCAACCGAGCCAACCGAAACTGAATCTGTGAGATATTAAATGAGAGAGCAAACGAAGTACCTGGTCCACGTTCAGTGCCAGCCCATGCCCCTGGGACAGGAGAGCCAGTTAACCAGGGAGCTGGCCCAGAGTTTCCCGGTGGAGCGGTGCTGGACCGACCGGGACTGGCTGACCATTGAGTTGGTTTCCGGCCACAGGCTAGCCAACGGAACACTGAAGGACCTGGCGGACTCCATTCAACAGTGCCTTTCCAGCCGGGGATTCCAGCTGAAATCAGGCATCGTTCACCGAATGGTGCTGGGGCCGGTGGCCGCGGGCGCCCGGTCGGTAATAGCCGCTCTGGAGAGGCGGTCGGTGGCGAGGCCATTGTTAACCGGATTGCTGGGTCGTTTAGCGACGCGAATATCGAGCCCGGCGCGCCTGGTCCCAGAAATGTACTTTCACTGGGGCATAACCCTTGATTTAGCGCTGGCCGGGAGAATGAAGCAGGTCTCAAATTAGCATATGGCATCGGAGAATAAAGACACTGATCGAAATAGAAGTGGAGGGGGGATGGCAACGGCTCAAGATAGTTCATTAGAGACTATGGGCGAAATCAGGCATCGTATCAGGGATGCGGTAGTAGAATCCGGAATCGCACAGCAGATTAACAACCGCTCGACGGAACTCACCGAAAACTCCAAGGTGGTGCTCCGTCGGCGGTACTTGTCCAAGGACCGGGAGGGCAACGTACTGGAAGACGCGGACGGCATGTTCCGCCGGGTGGCCCGCAACCTGTCCATGGCCGACCTCAACTACGGGTCGGCATCCGAGGAAGAACGGGAGGAAGCCGAACAGGCCTTCTATAACGTCATGCGGCGGCTGGAGTTCATGCCCAACTCGCCGACACTGATGAACGCCGGACGGGAGTTGCAGCAGCTTTCCGCATGTTTCGTGCTGCCGGTGGACGACTCGCTGGACTCCATATTTGAACGGGTGAAGGAAACGGCCCTGATCCACAAGAGCGGCGGCGGCACCGGATTTTCCTTCTCGCGGCTGCGGCCCGAGGGCGACGTGGTCGGCTCCACCGGGGGCGTGGCCTCCGGTCCGGTCAGCTTTATCAACGCCTTTGACGCCGCTACGGATGTCGTCAAACAGGGCGGCACCCGCCGGGGCGCCAACATGGGAATCCTGAACGTTGACCACCCGGACATTCTGCGCTTCATTCACGCCAAGGAAGACGGGGCGCACCTGGTCAATTTCAACATATCGGTGGCAGTAACCGAGGAATTCATGCAGCGGGTGGAACGGGGCCAGTCCTATGACCTGGTCAACCCCCGCACCGGCGAGGTAACCGGTCAGCTCAACGCCCGCGAGGTGTTCGAACAACTGACCCAGATGGCCTGGCAGACCGGCGACCCGGGCATCGTGTTCCTGGACCGGATAAACCGGGGCAACCCCAACCCGCAGCTTGGCAGGATCGAGAGCACCAACCCCTGCGGCGAGCAGCCGTTGCTGCCCTTTGAGTCCTGCAACCTGGGGTCCCTTAACGTGGCCCGGATGGTGAAGTACACCGACGATGACGTGGTGATGGACTGGGACCGGCTGGCGCAGGCCGTGCATGTCGGCACCCACATGCTGGACAACGTCATCGACATGAACGACTACCCTCTCGAAGAAATCGAGGTGATGAGCAAGAAGACCCGGCGCATCGGCATGGGCATCATGGGATTTTCCGACCTGCTGGTGCAGCTTGGCGTTCGCTATGACTCGGCGGAGGCCCTGGAACTGGGCGGCCAGGTAATGCGCCGCATCCAGGACGAGACCTACAAGGCTTCAATGGCGCTGGCGGAGAAGCGCGGCACCTTCCCGGCGTGGGAGGGCAGTGTTTACAACCAGCCCGGCAACGTCCGCAGGATGCGCAATTCCGCTCCGGTGACCATTGCCCCCACGGGTACCATCAGCATTATTTCCGGTGCGTCCAGCGGTGTTGAGCCCCTGTTCGCCCTTTCCTATGTCCGCAACGTAATGGACAACACCCGGCTGGTGGAAGGCAATCCTTATTTTGAAGCCGTGGCAAAGCACGAGGGCTTCTACTCCCAGGAATTGATGGAGCAACTGGCGCAGAAGGGCAGCCTCCACGAGCTGGAAGTGCCCGAATGGGTCAAGGATGTTTTCCGTACTTCCCATGACATCACCCCGGAATGGCACGTGCGCATGCAGGCGGCCTTCCAGGAATACACGGACAACTCGGTGTCCAAGACCATCAACTTCCCCAACAGCGCCACCGTGGCCGACGTGGCCCAGGCCTACATGCTGGCCTACGAGACCGGCTGCAAGGGAATTACCGTGTACCGGGACGGCAGCAAGGAAGGCCAGGTGCTGAGCACCGGCGACACGGGTTCCCAGGCCGAGGGCCAGGAGTCGGCCGGGGAAGCCGGGCCGTCGGTACGCGTACCGAAGGAGCGGCCCCGCCAGATACAGGGCATCACCGAGCGGGTGCATACCGGCCACGGCAATATGTACGTGACCATCAACTTCAAGGAAGAGGGCAAGCCCTTCGAGGTGTTCAGTACCCTGGGTAAGGCCGGCGGCTGTGATTCGGCCCAGCTTGAGGCCATTTCCCGCCTGGCGTCCCTGGCCATGCGGTCCGGCGTCAGCGCCGCCGACGTGGTGGAGCAATTGAAGGGAATAACCTGCTGTCCGTTCTGGGACGATGGAACCCTGGTGCGCTCCGGCCCCGACGCGGTGGCCCTGGCCCTGCAGCGTTTTATTGAAAGGGATGCAGAGGAAACGGAGCAGCCGACGGAAGCGAAGGCGGTCCAGATGCAGTTCGTTCCGGAGCCCATGTACCATAATGGCAATGGAAACGGCAACGGCGGCGCCGTCCCCACGGCCCGCAAGTGCCCCGACTGTAACACCCCGGTCATCTACCAGGAAGGCTGCCTGATGTGCATATCGTGTGGGTGGAATAAGTGTGAGTAAAGCTAAAGACAGAGGTTAATTGAAGGATTAGCGGCGTGGATGAGCCGCGCTACAACAATTAAATAACAGTTCGTTAAGAGCCCAAAAAGAAGGGCCGCTGGTAACAGCCTCGCAAGCACCACCAACGGCCGAGACCTAAACGGGTGGTACCCGTCTGGGATTTCCCATTTTTACCACAAATTGCAGATTTGTACAAGGAGGTGCACAAGACAAACACTGTCGTACTAAAGATAGGCCAAGTTGAACGCAACATGATAAGGGAAGTGTCAAAAAAGAGGAGGAAAACTAATGCCCAATAGAAACCAGCATGTAGTTCCGCATCCGAACGGATGGGCAGTCAAGCCAGCGGGAGGGCAACGCGCTTCTTCGGTACATCAGACCCAACAAGAAGCCATAGATAAAGGACGGCAAATTGCCCAAAACCAAGGATCGGAGCTTCTCATCCACGGCCAAAACGGTCAGATCCGCGAGAAGAACTCCTACGGTAAGGACCCGCACCCTCCGAAGGGCTGAAACAGTGTGCCACGGGGTCAAGAGACTAAGTTACATCGCCTGAAACAATTCCGCCCTCTACTAATATTACAACGACAGTTTAGGGAGGGATGGTGGAGTGGGCGCGAAAGGCCGCGCGGCGTTTGGCGTGAGACCGACTGGCTCGCTCGTTGCATTCTTGCGTCTG